AGACACTGGAAAAGATAACACAGGCGTAAAGACTAAGAACATGTTTGCGAAGCCTGGTCTCGAGCAAATGCCAAGTTATCTTGTCTCTCTTACGCCATCTTACGTCTATGATATCTTCACGCCGCACGCAACACACTGCAACGCATACGAAGAACGGTGCAAGACCTGCTGCCATCTGATTTTCAATCTAACTTTGCCGAGCGTCCGCCGCTGGTAAATGTGGTTAAAACATTCAGTATTTTGAATTGGAGGGTTCAGTCCATTACGACCTTTTCATTTTTGCTTTGCGACTACTTAAAACAAGAACTCTACAGAAAACCAGAGTAATGCAGTGACGAGGCTTCGTGTTTTTCGGTATTCGCTACATTTGGCCAAGGTCAGGGTCTGTCTTTCTGAAGGGCCAGGAGAGGGAGGTAGGGGGTGTCGGAACATCGTAGGGTGTTCCTTTTTTTTAATGCTCAAAACCACGCACAATTGCTGATTTTTGAAAATTAAATCTCTTAGTCTCCCTTAAGGCAATATTGAAATTTAATTAAAATTCTTTGGTTTGATGGCAAAAGTAAATCATTATGATTATTACTTATTCTGAGAGACAACGCGCCCCGTCCAGGCAAAAAGACCTGAACCAACACAGTTAATCAGTGCTGGGAACCCCTTCTGATGCATTGGAACCTTTCTATTAGGCTTGGCATTAGACGTATTATTGAACTTTCAAAAGGCGACGAAAGCAATCATGGAACGCTAGAAAATGCTACTAACACATATCACGAGTTTGATATGCATAAAATTTAGAATTGTAAATTATTTAAATTAATAGATTAATGTACATAATTTCTCTTCTAAAATTATTCGTAATTTGTGGAAGCTACCTTGTTGCCATTGTATTGACATTCATGAATATAGAAGACAAGCATGTGTAAATGCTCCAAAACATCCTAAATGACTAAATACTTACTCCAGCCGCCCTGTTGTAAAGAACCTCTATCTCTTCTATGGATTTCAAGAGTTCTTTCTCAATTAATATGAAGTACAGGCTGCACATTCGCCTTCTCCTCTACATCTTTTAGAAAAATGTTTTATTTTTAAAGCAGAAAACATTTTCTTGGAGCTGTTCGAGCTAGTATGGTGCATATTCACTTACGGGCCGTTCTTAAAGTAAGTAACGCTAATTTTGTATATTTTGACGCACTTTAAACGCGCGCTTGAGCGCTCCCTAAATAAGTAGTGCTCGCGACCCCTCCCTCATTTACAAGAAGTGAAAGTAAATTATATTACTGTAAAAACAAGTTGTATTAATTTTATTTGTGTTACATATTAAAATTTGTGTTCATTTAAGACAAAATTAGTTGACTCTCTACAGTAAGGTTGGGGCCAGCTTTTGAGCGAAAGAAGAACGCATGACGCGAAAATATTTGACAACAAGTCCTTCACACGCCGTTGCGGATGTCACAAGGGGAGATGTGTGTATTTGCGAGGTAATATATGCGGAGAAAAGTGTGGAGGTACATACGTAAAAATGCTGGGAGCATGCGAAGTAACTTGACGAACGTCTGAGGGCTTCTTGCATTGAACACGTTGAGGGTCGTGCGCAGGGCAAGTGGAGCCCGAGCTATGTTTCTTGAGCAGAATTCTTACAAAAGAGGCCCTTTTGAATTTTCTGTTACAGTTTTGGATATTCAGCTCTTGCGAATGGCCGCACACTAAAGAACGCATTGGCAGTGTGTGCAATGACATTGATGCGTACATAGACCACACAGACAGACCTGATTTGTTTTCCTGCGGAGTTCACGGGCTGGCGGTTGGGGGAGATAGGAAGTGTCAGCCAGGCGGCCCGACATCCCTTTCCTTGTCAAGAAGAGGGCAGTGGGCATCGACGCGACAAATCACGCACACCGAGAAAGGAAAGGCAACTCTTTCCCTAGCGAGAGGAAATCAATAGAAAGAGTGAGAGGAGGACAGCTGTCTCCTCTCCACCTAAAACTGAATGCGACAACAAGCAACTTAGTTAAAAATCTGGCCTGGTACGAGCCGAATCCGACGGCAAGGAAGAAGCGCCCGAGAGACGTATCGCGGTGCGCAACACCGAACAGCGAAACGCGAATGCCGGCAAACGAAATTGCCACAAACAGCGCTACAATCGCGCCGACCGGCTAATGCTTTTCCCGACCTCTGCTTTAGTGTTTCAGATCAGCCATATATATGTCCGCCAGGATAGCAACGCCAACAATGCAGGGAAGTGTTGTTGCATTGCACCTTGCGGTCATAGCTAACCCCCTTACTGATTGTGCGATCACTCAAATTGTATTTGAGCTCGGGTGGTATAAATAGTTTTCTCTCCCGGACTTTTCGTATTCTTTATTGAACCAGATTTTGGGAGTTGGTTGGCAACTACGAATTTGTTGGGACCTGGGAGTGCGAACAGATTGTGACTGAAAGCGTACTGGCTTGTTTCCGCGAGCAGTGACTCGCAAGGCCAGAGCGCCGGAGAGCGTTTACCCTTCATTTCCTCTTCCTGGAGCCAGCCTCTCCGCGCGAAGTCGGGCAGGACGCGCCGCAGCATGGTGGCGTACTCCGCGTCGCAGAAGAGGTGCGCCTCCCGCTCCACGGCGGCGTCGCCCTCGCCCTCGCCCTCGCCCGCCGCCAGCGACGCCTCCATGTCGAACACGCGCTCCGTCTGCGGAGCGGAGGCAGAGACTGAGTGAGAAACTCATTCGTGCGAGTGAGAGACAGAGAATAAGTGAAATAGAGAGTGAGAATGAGTGAGAGAGTGAGAGTGAGAATGAGTGAGAGAGTGAGAGAGAGAATGAGTGAGAGAGAGAGAGAATGAGTGAGAGAGTGAGAATGAGTGAGAGAGTGAGAATGACTAAGAGAGTGAGAATGACTAAGAGAGTGAGAATGACTAAGAGAGTGAGAATGACTAAGAGTGAGAATGACTAAGAGTGAGAATGACTAAGAGTGAGAATGAAAATATAAAATCAATATAGCTATGATCACTGAAACCCAAAAAAGTTCGAAGGCACTGGAAGATTTATGTCACAAAAACTGGAAAACTATGTCATGTTTTGCAGTGGATTTGCACAAACAACTACTGGTGGTACAGAATGGCACAGACTTGTTGTACTAGCTACATTTCTAATTTCTTTGGTCTTGGCTAGCTATTCCAGCTTGTCATATACTTTTTCCAGCTACCATCTATCGCTACCCAACGTACATTTTCGTTTCGAAATTTTCTCAATATTTCCGATTTCGCAATAATAGAACCGAAATATTAATTTAAGAATATTATAGAAGAGTAAAACTTTGCCCTATATGGAACTTTTCGTTGAAAACTGTCGTCGTGCCATCTTATGAATGCAATATTACCCCTATGAGTGCTACGATGTTTATCCCGAATTATTAAGCAGTCATCCGTTTCTCTTGCGCATACTGCACACTCCTATAGGTAGAAGCGTATCGTGCAACGTGTGAATTAGAACTCGTGCACAACCAGCGGGGGAAATGACAGCTCGAGGGCTTCGCACCACGCCTTTGAGCGGAGAAACGCATTCAGAGTGGTTTGCTTCTTCTTCATCCTCTTGTTGGACAGCCTTAGATGCCCCGGGGAGCAGTGACACATGAAGAACGCTACAATGATTCATTTTTGCTGCGAAGTCGCTTTACAACACTGTTCCAACTTGATACGTTTGTTTTTGAAATAGCCAAAATAATATGAAATAGTAAATGAAAGACTACTATTATAAACAAAATTGTACAAACGGCATTTAAATATTACTCACTTGTAACTTACCCTTTCACATGGTGTGCATTCAAATAAACGTGTAAATTTGTACCAAATACTACAAAAGTTTCCTGCGCTTAGAGCAAGTTTTGTCGATTAAAAAATTGATAAAATCGTAATTTTATTATAACGTGCTTAACGTTAGTTATTTTATTTCTTAGAATTAGCGCCGGGTCTCCCCATCCAGCAGGGGAAGAACACTGCACCCTCCCGTGATAAACACAGGCACTACATTTACGGAAGCCATGACTCGCTCGGAATCACGAACATCCCGTCAATGAATTTGGAGTGAGTGCGAGAATCTGGACGTTTGGAGGGCCACAGAAGGTGGATATTGCAATAGCTGAAGGCTTTCGACCGAGCCACATAGTTGCATGTCACGGAATTAATATGTGTAATAATTACCTACGAAATAAAAATAAATATCCTTTCTAATTAATACCCATCATTACTCGTCGTTTCATTATATCCTATTATTAATGCATTGAAAAAACACGTAAGACTGCAAGTTCATTCAACAGTAATTGAAATAACTCCTTACGTCTTCGAAATCTTTTGTAACTGGTACACATAAGGCAAGAACCAGAATAGTGAAAATGATACACCAAATTGTATGACTAAAAATTGTAAAATTTGATTTGTTTAGGTAGAAGCCAACCGCGTCTGAGTAGTTCAAATACTTTTGAAGCAATAATGATTAACAATTACAGAAATGATTTCGCTCTCATTTCCATATTGCTCCAAGATTATATTAGGACGTTTGTTTGGGAGTTGGCGCACCTTGCAGCGCGTGATGGGCAGCACGCAGCACGCCGCCACCAGGGCCACAGCTCCGCGCGAGTCCATGGCCGCCTGCAGCTGCTCCGCGGTCGGGGCCTCCTCCCCCAGGCCCAGCAGCTGCAAGGCGTCGCGCAGCGCCGCGCAGTACTCCTCCAGCAGCGCGTCCAGCGCGCCGGGCGCCGTCGCCGTCTCCTCGTCCAAACTGGAGTAGAGGAAGTAGAGCAGGTCGGCGGCGGGCGCGCCCACGTGCGACAGCTGCAGGTCGACGAAGCGCACGTCGACGGGCCGCTGGGCGGCGTCGCGCCGGAACAGCATGTTGTTGAGCCAGAAGTCGCCGTGCAGCACGACGGCCAGGTCGCCCGCGTCGACGCGGCAGGTGGCGGCGGCGAAGGCGTCGAAGGCGGCCGGCGCGCGGCGGGCGAGTGGCGTCGGCCAGCGCCGCCCAAGCGGCCGGGGAGCGGCGCCCAGCAGGCGCATTCGCCGCAGCCGGTCCGCGCGCCAGCGCCGTGGCGCGCCGCCTTGGCGACATCTCGCGCACGGGCTGCTCGAAGAAGTTGGCCCACGTGCGGCCATGGCGGCCGGCTCGCGCCGCAGCAGCCGCCGCCGACGCGACCGCGTGGAAGCGGGCGAGCGCAGCGCAGGGCCAGGGCGCGCGTGCGCCGCGTCCATGCCCGTGCGCGCTCGCCAGCGCGAAGCCGCCGCTCCGCCAGGTCCTCCCAGCCACCTGCGCCGCGAACAAACAAGCTGCGACTCACGCATCAACTGGCAGTGCCTCTGACTGGGGGCTGCCTAGGGTTCGAGTCCCGACGTTCTGTCGCTCTCTGGAGGATTCTAGCGGCCGGCTGCTCTGGGCGGGAGTTTTCCCTGGTTTCTGCCATCAACACCAGGCGAATGCCCTAGAAGTATCCTACCAAACAGGCCTCGGACCGCGTGCGAACGTCTCCTCCCATTCCTGGTCCTCACCCCTTCCTTACACACACACACACTAACATGCTCTACACTACCACACATGCCGGGAGACCGGTCGGGAGCTTGGAGCTTGTTGCGGCTGGGGCGAGCGATCTCACCAACCAGCAGGGGAAGATCACCGCCCCCTCGCGCGATACAACATGCACTAACCTTACGGGACTAATGACTATAGCAGTTGATGCACCCGGGATCAACCAACCAATAAAATACAATGCCACCAAGCGCATCAAGTCTCCCGCTATTTGCAATCGTTAAAATTTCGGATTTGGTGAAAGTATTGCTTATCTTTTTAGTAGATATCTTGTTCATTTTTATGTTGGGCACGGGGCAAGATGAGCCAGACCATCATCGAGGTTGTAACGTGGATGACGAGTGGGAAGCTTACCAGAAAGTGGGTGGGCTCCGTGTCCCAGAGCAGGCAGCGCGCGGTGAAGGGCGGGAAACGCCCGGGCGCCACAGCCTCAAGCTCTCGCTCCATCTTCGGCACCACCTGCGCACGTTCGAAATAACGTCAACGTCTGTCAATGCAGCCCCATCACCCAGCCTTCCACCTTCTCGATTAGTTTGAAACGGTGGTTTCCGAACTGATCCACGATTCGCAACAATTGCTCAATGCATTGAATTTTATTTTCGAAAAATTAAATATCAAATGTTAAAAAAATTGTGGAACAACGTCTCTTGTATTGGCACTTGTATTGTCGATTGTGGATGAAGTAATAAAGAAAGGGATATATCAATTGACACCCACGCTTCTTCTGACAATGTGAAACTAGTTTGAGCGTGGGTTTACTTCTAGGATCTAATCTTCTCGTGAAATTTCATATAAATCAAATGATGTTGATATCCTTATCACAGAAACTATAAAAAATCTAAGATAAAATTAAGGCTTTTCAGAAAAAAATATTTTGCAACAGTTTTGTAATCTAAAAAAACTTTTACCACTTATAGTATATTTTTGTAACTAAAACAGATAAAATAATGTTTTCTTACTTTATGAACTAATATAAAAGTATTGGGGGCCCCTTTCCAACAGGGGCTGTAGGCACGAGCTAATCTCTTAGTGCATAACGCACCCCTTCAATGATCTAGAAATTGTCGGCAGTACGAGAAAAGAGCTGCAGGTCATGGCCCGGACTGAGATGTAACTCCATAGCAAAGACCCTGTCAAAGTCCGTTGCTTGTGGAACGTCTCTGATCGGGAGATCCGTAGGTTTGAGTTTCGTCGGTGGTGGAGTTTTCACACCAGCTACTGAACTGAATCGAATTGAACCACAGGAGGAGAATTCTAGCAGCCGCAGACTACTCCGTTCAGTAGTTTAGTTTCCCGAGGTTTCTCCAATCAACATCACGCGAATGCTGAAGCAGTACCCTAACAAACGGGCAACCCGATATTTCTTTCCACGTTCGTATCTGCTCCCATTTTACACACGCACTTGCATGGACTACTCTAGCTCACATTTTGGGTGACCATTGCTTAAAGATCACCCGACCAGGACGGAACCCGGAGGGAGGGGGAACGCCGCACGCCGACGAGCAGGTCCGCGCCGGATGTCGGAGGGAGGGACACCTCCCTCCGCCAGGCTGGAACATGCACTACACTTAAAGGATGAACGACCAGAGTAATTGCTCAAGCGAAGCGGGACCCACCTGCGCGAACATCTGCGCCTCGGCGACGAAGGTGCGCGACTGCAGCACGAGGCGGCGGAAGCGCTCGCCGGCGGGCGGGCTCTTCACCACGACGCGCCGCTCGCCGCCCGCTCCGCCCGCCAGGGTGGCGCGCACGCGAAACATCTCGCTGACGTAGCCGTCGCCCGCGGCGTTGGCCGCCTCCACGCGCACGCCCACCACGCGCGTGTCCGCCCCGCCCCCGCCCGCCCGCAGCGCGCGCTCCACCAGCGCCGCTTCCAGCCACGCGGGCGCCACAGGCCGGCCGGCGTCCTCGCTCTCGCCCATGCTGCGGACATACACGCAGACGGTGCGCACCATCAGTGAAAGTTGGAAAGAAAGGGGGAAATAAATAAAGAGAGAATTAAAGAAAGAAAGAAAGAAAGAAAGAAAGAAAGAGATAAACGATGTATTTATGTACTTTGGCACAATAACTCTTTACGCGTTAAGGCCAACCAGAGAAAGTAAGAATATATTTATTAAATCCAATAGAACTTGCTAAGAACCGATGAAAAAAGAAATGAAGAGAAACATTCCATGCACGTTCGTATTTCATATCCATATTAATAAACCATGGGAACCAAGGCCAAGTCCAAGCTTTCACTGATTGAAAACGATGGCCGGTCCCTCCAGGGGCGGGATGAAGCACAATCCCTCCGCACGCAAATCAATTAATACACTTAACGTATGCACGTGGTTGGCATTTTACTTTCGGATTAATCGGACTTTTGCCAGCTGGCGGTGCTCCTAGGCCTGAGCACTGTTTTTATTCGTCATCCACGCCTGGGAATAAAGGAGACCTGTGAGAAGCATGACGGATTCCCCTCACCGTATGCAGCACACTTGGCCTGCCTGAGATTTTCTTTCGTCGCCTGTAGGAATTGAGATGATTATAAGGAAAAGCTACACTTCTGTTTTTGCCCCGTTCAGAAATAGAATCAGGGATAGAATGTTAATATTTTGATATGCTGTTAATCTTTATACAAATGTTGAATTGTATTGTTGTTTATTGGTATATAAATGGCCTGGATATGCAAAAAATATGCTCATCCATGTTGGTAAATAACACTTAATATTGTATGTAGTAAAATACAAATTAAAAACTTACTTGCTCTTGCAGGCTAACTACAGATTGTAGAGGATAGCGTTGTTGATCTGAAAAATTTTCGTGATCCATAATTTGGCGGCCTTTGTTTTGTTTTTTGAAAATACTTACATAAGAATTTTTTTCTTACTGTTGGGCGTGGATTTAATTTTACATTCTGGGATGGGTTTCTCTTTCGATATTTTTGAAGTTTTCATGTAAGTAAATATTATGAAGTGTTAATGTAAAATATCAAAATTGAAACGCAATGCTTTTAAAATAAATAAAAGCTCTTATTGCAATTACTTAAACGAATGCGAACTTGCAAGTAAGTTCCTTGTGAAGGGTAAGAGGAGGGGAGTAGCGGCCCTACCACGCAATTTCCCCCAGGCGGCGCGAGATTAATACGCGAACCCGCAAGCGGAAAGCTCTCTTTTCTTCCACCACGCGCCGAGTAAGCAAGCTGCTCTTTTTGATCACCGTTCGCCGAGTCACACTTCGTTAAAACATTAGTTAGATATTGTTTTGCCGCTGCAACGACTACTAGTAGGAGTGTCCGGCGTTCGAAACAGACGTTCTAGTTAGTCGTCCGCGAGTAGTGCAGATTAAGTATGTCTTCAATTAAACAACACCGGGAAGTAAAGGTTCCCGTTGTGAAGGAAACATTAAAATTCTGCCTAGCAAAGTAAAAGTAGCAACAGCCGAGAACTTGCACGAGTATTCGGTAAAGTCGCAAGCGGACATTTTCGCACGTGGGCGTAGTTCGAGGCGCCAGGTAGCAGACGAGGAAGAAGAAGAGGCCAGGATCCAGGCGCACGTGGAAGAAAGCGAACGGCTGGAGAGAACAAGAGGACGCAAGAAGGAACGCAGACGGCAGAGGCGAATCCCGTTCTCTCTTACGAACACAGAGGCTGGACGAAGCGGGCGCAGCGACCAGCGCACGACCATGCAGGCCAAAAATGGGAAGTCACGAAGGTAACATGTAGCGGCGCGGAAAATAGGCTCAAGTTCACGTCGGCAGGGAAAAACTAGTAGTGAGGAAGTGTTAAGAAATTTGAGACACGGCGTGGCAACAAATTACAGTATTATAGTAGGAGACGTTTTGATGCGCTATGTCCTGCTTAAAAACATTTTTCTTAGGCATTTATATTTCGCTATTTCAGGACACAGTTAAATTGTAATGAGAAGTTAGTGCACTTGCACACATTTTTGTTCTTTACATGTAATATCTTGAAGCGAGAGATTGCTAAATTGAATTTTTGATTTTCACGTGCAAATGGGAATAAGAATGAGTACAAATTTAGATATAATAATTTTCCAAGGAATTCACAGTGTAGTTAGGTAATTATTTCAGAGTATTCAATTTTTGAAGTAAATTATGCTGTTCATCATATGAGTATGTGTTGCTTAAAGGTTTCTATCTGTGTTTTTATTATTCTTTGTAAAAGTGTGCATTCTATATTCTTGGTTCTGTCATTAAACTTATGCCCACTTAAAGTTTATGGTAAATTAATAACGCTCGTTTGTGCTGCAATCTGTGTGATTGTATTGTGTCAAGGCCGTTCAAACCTTTATCGGCACCCTTGAAGATTCCTGCTCCACTAATTTTTTAAAGCTCGCTTCACGAGCAAAATTCTGATAACCCGCTTACGGTTCATGCCTGCACTGCTGAGGTGGTAAGTTGTGGGTGGGTGTAGGTGGGTATGTTAGAATATATATATATATATATATATATATATATTATTATATAGGCCTTATT